GAGGGCTGTGGCATTGCCCTGGGCTTCACTGGAGATGGGTGATATCCTCAGCCTGACACTTCTCATGCCATTAAGGAGCAGTCTCAGCCCTTTATTTCCTCTGCCATTGCTTCAGGACTTTGTCTCCAGCTACCTAGAAACTCAGGTAGGAAGATGCAAACGTTCCAGGTTAAAAGTGAGGCAAGATGTGCAGGTAGAACTAACAGCTTTACTAGGTCAGCAGGCAACACTGCAGGTGAGCTTTGCAGTGAGCACACAAGCCTTTGGGCACAGCTGTACAGCCAGAGCAGCATCGCTGCTACTGAAAGGATAAGGAGGTTTGCTGTTTGAAATAGAGACCCCATGGCATGAACTGAAGAGAACCAAGGTAAACACCATCTTCTCCTAAGCTGGTCAAGTAACACAGCACCTTTAACACCACCTGTAACCTTCAGAGAGCAGATGCTGCCCCAGATATTCTGACCTGCAAAGGGGTTTTGTGCCTGAAAGTGTGTTGTTTTTTCCCCAGCTATATATATCCTTTGGGATAACAAAAGCTGCTCCCTCTCCTTTCAGCCACACCTTGTGTATCTCCTCATTTTTCCAACAGAAGGTTTGCAAGGTTTGCTGGCAGCATACTGCCCGTCAGCAACCTCCCAGCAGAGCACACTGATGTAACCAAGTGCTTGTGGGCAGCCCGATGCCAACCCAGGCAGTGAGATAATACAGGGGCACTGGGAGAGGAAACCAGCTGGAGCATCTGGGTCAGGATGTGTTGGACACTTGGGCTTCTTTATGGCTCCACACATGAGCTCCAGGGATGAGCTAGATGGCTGCTCCATCCTTTTCCTAGAAATCATCATTAATGCTGCTTTTAAACTTCTCTTTGCATTTCTGTGCTGAAAAAAAGCCCCAAACCAACCCATTATCTATCTACTCCCTGGAGACCACTGTGCTAGCTGAGTGCTGCAGAGACATGAAGACTGCACAGGGGCTCAGGGATGTCAGGGTAGTTCATCCTATGTGTAACGCTGAGTTTACTGGAAAGCAAATTTAGCCAGTTTTGTCTTTGGTCATCAGGTTTTTGAGCACCAGCATTTGGAATCACGGATACACAAAGAGCCTCAGCCATCGATATTCAACGCATGGAGCGAAGCTGTGTTTCAGCAGCCGGTGCTCATCTTGGCTCGCTCGCTCTGCTCAGGTGGGATGATGCACTCCTGACCAGCATCAGGCTTGACTGGGGAGCCTGCAGGGCTGAAAATCAATGTTCCTTCACTGCGAGCCAAGCGGCAGCTCATGCTGGAGCAGAGGAACAACATCTGCAGCATGTAAAACGCACCGGGTGGTGGGGTACGCGCGTGTTAGCACAGCGGCAGGGCCTCTTCCCTGAGAGAGGAGCTCACATCTGAGACACGCACAGCACAGGGGGCCTCCCTGAGCCTGAAACCCCCAGGAGAGCAAGAGAAGCGTGCCTGAGTAAAGACTGAGCAGAGGACTAGGTTTTAACTCCTTCATTCCATGCTCCTTCGTAGGCCAGTTCCAAATCCTTCGCAGGTTCTGGTGCAAAGATCCTATTAAGCTCTTCCTGCCCCCATCTGCAACACAGAAACTTCCCCTATAGGAAACTCACAGCTATAACATACCCGTTTATCTACGTGAGAGCCTCAATGGAAGGTGTCACATCAGTCTGAAGCTCCTGTACTAACACAGGTCCTGAATGAAGAACAGAAGGGGTTTGAAATCACTGCTCCTCCATAAAGCTCTCTGTGGATGAGTCCACTCTCTATGGACTTCTCCATTCCCAGGACTTTGCACCACAGCCATGCTCCTCAGCATGGTGCAGCATTACAAACTGCTGGTTAGGACACTTATGCACACATTTAAGCTTTAAAAGAGAGGGTTTGGTTCCAGAGGTTTGCTAGGCGGTGGCTATAGCCAGTGCAGAAACCACTTTGAAAACTGGTATTAAAGAAGTGACTGAGCTGCGTGTAGTTTACACACCTCTTGCTCATCTGTTACCATTCAAATACACTAAAAGCCACTGGAACTAAGTAATATTATGTATAGAATGTCCCTCTGGAGTTAGTAAAGGCTCAGGGCAAAACCATAGTACAGGAAGGGTACTTTGTGGTGAGTCTGGCCAAACCAAGCAAACACCACTCGTGGTCATGGGGATGATCCCTTCTCATGCCCAAACATGAGGCTTTTCCTGCTGGAGAGCAAGAATGAGGAGTCCCAAACCCCATACAGCAGAACCACCAATAAGGATCTATGGCCAGCTGCAGGTTCAACCCCAAATAAGCCCTCTGGTGAACATTGCATCGCTTGAAGATGTAGGACAAATGTTTCCAAAGCCTGGATCTACTGCCTGGATGAGGCAAGAGTGCCTGAGCCAGTATGTCAACTAACACAACTAATTAGGCATTTTAAGGAGATGCAAATGAAGGCACAGATAAGCAGCAGGAGGTTTTCCCCTTGCTTTACAGTGCTGGGTGCAGGAACTCCTTCCCATCTGCACATCCCAGATGTTCTGCAGCCCCTTAGCAGGCTGCACACACCTCTGCTCTGCCCAATGGCCTGTGCTAAGGGGAAATCCAAAGAATGGCTTCTCTATGGGTTTCTATGGATTCTGCCTGCAGAGATGTGTTCCCTAAAGCCTCATCAGTGGATCTTTATTAGCTCCATCATGGTGGCAGCACCCTGGCACAGTGGGGCATGGGAGGGTGGCTTGGGTACCACGTCACCAATGGAGACCTGTGAGCTGTCCCAGTGTGCTGGCACTCCCATCACAGGTATGAGAGCCCTGGAAGGGAGCCTGTGCTCCTCACGGTGCCCTGGTGCACCCAGATTCACTCTTGGTGCTCTGCTATCAACCACCTCGTTGTGATGGGGCAGAAAGCTCATGCACACACACACACAGAGGTATGGAGAAAGCTGACTTATTCAGCCTGATTATACAGTGAAATACAGTATTTTACATGCCATTTGCTGCAGCAGCAAAATGGGGTGAACAGTGAATCAAAAAGCAGCGCTTCTCCGTGCCAGCAGCGTTGATCAGGCAGCATCCTTACCTGGGGGAGGCAATTACTGGAACAATCTCTTTGCACGTTCCTCCTTTGTTCCTGTTCTTGCAGGGGCTGTAACTGTCTTTTGTGTCTTCTGGTTTTCCCTGCTGCAGTTTCGCTGTGCATGGGATGTTTCACATACACTGACTTCATTTCCCTGTGCCCTGTGTGTTGCTGCTCCTTGTGCACCAGCAGGGAAGTCCCCAGAGGGGGATAATGCCCTTTGGCCAAGGTGAGGTGTACCTTTCAGCACTTACAGCCTTTGCCTTGATGTGAGATATCTGCCATGGGTTTGTGGCCACCTGCAGGCCACCGCCCTGGGGAGGACAGAAGATTGCACATGGTTACGGGGCTGGAGGATGCATTGGGACGGAGCTACCTCACTCTCTGCAGCCCTGTGCTAGGATGAGCACACACAGGCTAACACCACCTACAAGTGCTTCAGGAGCCATTTGACATATACTTCAGTCAAGTATAATATCAGAACAGGTAATGAGCAGATGTCTCATTGTCCCTTAATAGGGGAACTGGTGATTCACATCACTGCCTGCATCACTCATGGATGGTAGTGCGAGTGCCCTGCAATGGCGTATCTGCGACAGAGGAATGCAGGTGTTCACCCCTGGGATCTCTGGAGACAAATTCCATCCTGCCAAGGAGTAAGGATCATAGTGTTTGGATGTATCGTTAGGGATTGCTGCATGCCAGCCCAGTGGGGTGAAGCCATGCTGGGGCTGAGTGGGGTGAGGGACCCCTACCCCATGCTGTCTGTGATGGAGACTCAAATCTGCTGCATGTGAACCAGCCCTCCTCATGCCTCAGTTTACCACTTGCAAACCTCCACAGTGTCTGCAGGCAGAAGGGGCTGCCCCTCAGCTGTGCTGGGTGGCTGCTGAGCACACAGGAAGCATGGATTCCATGATGAGGCTTTGCATCAGTCCCTGCAAGCCGGTGTAGATAAACCCGGAGCTGTTTTGGAGCCAGCAAGGTGAGGAGTTGCAAGCAACGCAGGAGGAGCAGCAGCCCAGCATTCAGCTGCTGTGTCTGTGATGCTCAGCCTGCAACAGAGCCGTGAGGGTGCACAGCAGTAGCACAGCGTGGCGTGATTGTTGATCAGACAGGTCTGTGATGAGGAAGTGCGCCTGAATCCAGATGCCGGTCACAGGAACCACCCTGAACCACAGATCAGAGCGTTCTCAGGTTGTTTGATACCCAGGTACTCTCATGAACGCCTCAGGGTGAAAAGATCCAGCTGGAACAGGGCTAGGAGCAATACTGGTGTTTGACAGAGGTGAGGAAAACTGAAGTGGTCACAAAGGAAGTGTGTGGCAGAGATCATAGAACCCCAGACTGGTTTGGGTTGGAAGGGACCTTAAAACTCATCCAGTTCCATCCCCTGCCACAGGCAGGGACCCCTTCCACTAGAGCAGCTTGCTCCAAGCCCCTGTGTCCAACCTGCCCTTGAACACTGCCAGGGATGGGGCAGCCACAGCTTCTCTGGGCACCCTGTGCCAGCGCCTCAGCACCCTCACAGCGAAGAGTTTCATAGTAAAGAATTCCTTCCCCCTGTGCTGCAGCATGGGCACAGAGCAGCGGTGTCCCACCCATGGGGTAGTGATGACCACAGGGTGCAAGTGTCCCATGCACGGGGTACCTCTCATGGGCTCTGAGCCTGATACCGGTCTCTCGAAGTCCCTTGTCCCCTGGGCCCCGAGTGACCTGGCTCTGGGCTTCCTGACCCTGTGGAACCCCAACCTGAGCGTACGCAGCAGTGCTCACAGACCCGCTCACGGCACTCGCACGGGGAAGCCGCCTCCTGCCCAAGCCGCCGGCAGCCGCACGCTGCCTTTGCCTTCTTGTTCCTCTCCGTTCACTGCCTCTGTATTCCCCCAGGACCGGGACCGCGCTCCGAGGAGCCGGGAGCAACGCGGGGCCGCCGCCCCGACGGGACCGATGGGCGCATCCCCCCTCCCCTCCCGCCCCGCACCGCCCCCCGGCCCCGCCCGCCCCGCGGGCCGGGCTCCGCGGGAGCCGCCGCTCGGCCGGAGCGGGGCTGGCGGCGGCGGGTGAGTACGGCGGCGGGTCCGCGGGCGGCGGGACACGGGCACGGGCACGGGCACGGACACGGGCACCCCGCGATGGCCGTGCCCGAGGGGAGGGAGGCGGCGGGGGCAGCGCAGCCCCCGGCCCGGGGGTGCCACCGGGTGATGGGCACAGCTCGAGAGGGGACGCGGGGTTCGCGTCGCCGCCGTCGGGGCGGGAGAGGCGGGGACTGGTCCTGATGGAGCACGGCGGGGTTACATGTGCCTTGTCCTGAGAGGGGTCCCCTCCGTCAGAGCCTGCCTTTGGGAGGTGGTGGCACAGCGCGGCTGGGATGCTCCTCTGGAAGCATCGTTATTACTGTGGTCTGGATGGGTACCAATCCCCTAACTGATAATAGTAATACAGTAGTAGTAGTAGCAATAATAATAATAATAGTAATAATAATAATAATAATAACACCACCAAATTCAGGTAGAGGCAGGAAGGAATCTCCTTAATAACACCCTCATGGTTCGCTGTGTCTCTCCCTGGTGTTCCTTTGGGCACATTTAATGTCTTCATCCACACGGCGTGCAGCAGGACAGGCTGTCAGCGCCGTGGAGGGACATGGGCTATGGAGGTGGGTTTTGTCTTGATGGCACTGGGGGAGTTTCAAAACTCTTTTCGTTTTCTCTTGTAGCTGGAGAAGAGTGTTTTTCTGAGTAATGCTTAGTAGACCCTATGAATCACCATCTGCATAACTTTATATGGGGGATGCTATTCTCAGCATCTTAGTAGAACTATGTAAACTATTAACATTCGTAGTTGTTTGTACATGCAACACACAAGTCTATTTCCTTGGGAAGGCTATTCCGAAGCAGGTCAAAGGAGGAGACAGGAGAGAACAGAACGTTGGAGCGGCTCAGCAGGTAGAGACGGGTGTTTGGGAGCTGTCTTTGGAGGGGCAGCCGCTCCTTGGAAACCTCACTGGGATGCTGAGTGTCCCGGAGTGGAGCCATGGGCAGGCTTATGGAGCAGGAACTCAGGTCCTGTGCTGGTTTCACGTCTCCCTTCCTGGTCTTTTGCCCTGTTCTCCCAAAGGGGGTTGTGCTAAGGAAAACGTGGTGGAGCTTGGAAGGAGGCTCAGGAGAGCTGGCAAGGGGCAATGTCACCCTGCACGGAGGAGCCACCTCTGCACACGCACGGTGGGAACACGAGTAGGCTGGGGGAGCGTTGAGCGCTGCTCCCCGCGGCGCTGGGCTCGTCAAGAGAGAGCAGTTTATTCTCTGGAGCTGTCAATCCGTCACTGCCAGAGCTCCCCGCCTTCCCTCCACATCCGCCTCCCCCTCACTGCCACCGCTCCCAGATGTGCGCAGCGCCGGGGATGCAGAGAACCAGGCAGCAGAGAACCACAGCATCTCCCAGAGCTCGCCAGGCTGACCCCAAAACGTTCCAGCTCTTGGTGCTGCTCCAGTCCTGGCTTTCAGTGTGGGTTGGCCTGTCGTTCCCATGCAGCTGGAGCGAGAGATGTGCCATAGGGGTATTGTGGACTGTGGCTTACAGGGCCTTGAGCAAGCTGCTCTAGTGGAAGGTGTCCCTGCCTGTGGCAGGGGGTTGGAGCTGGATGAGGTTTAAGGTCCCTTCCAACCCAAACCAGTCTGGGATTCTATGAACATTGGCTGAAAACCTGCCAGGAAGATGCGATGCTCTCAAAAGGAGCGGGATTCACGGGTCAGGTGAGTCCTTGCGCTCTTCTGAGCATCTACGGCTGCACGGCAGTGTAGGCCCAGCTTGCCTGCTGTGTCCTGCTCACATCAGGAGGCGAGTTGGAGGATGCTGATCCCTGACAGCACCTAACAGCATCTCTGATAGCCTGTTCTCTGTCTCAGCTCATCCAAGCCCCAGCCATTCAGGGGCTCTGAATTCATGGGGGGAAGCTCTGCCTCCTCCCAGCCCAGGACCATCACCTCCTTCCCCGGGGGTCCCTGTGGATGATGCTGGGGACCACTGGCTGGGCATCAGTTTGGGATCATGACCATAGGATAAGAGCATTCCAGAGGACTGGGAGGACACAGGGCTCCCAGTCCTGCAGCCTTCCTGCAGGTTTCCTAAATCCCACTTCTCATGGGGTTCCTTCATTAAAGGTAGATTAGATCAGCTGGTGTGTCTTTCACTATGAAGTAATTTGTCCTTTCCATTTCGTGGGTCCATCTGATAAATAATGCCTTGAAATAATGTAATTCCACATGCCCTTGGTCACAGCAAGTGTATGCTGGGCTCTGCTCCCTGCCCGCTCCAGCTGGGTGCTTCCAGATCTCAGGATGCAGTTTAAGTCCCTGCTGCAGGAGGAGAGCCCTGCCTGGAGGAACAGAGACCAAAGCCACCAGGTTATCCTCATTTCACTGACGTGCAGGTGAAGTGATGAAGGCAGAGGAGGGGATGGAGCATGGATCCTTCAGCTTTCCATCCACCTTTGTGCTTGAGCCCCATCTCCATCCTGGCTGTGCCCTGGTGTGCGGCCCCTCCACTGGCACTGCCACAGCTCTAAACCCTCCCAGAGGAGTCATCCAGGACTGGATCTCTAAGGGGATGCTGGTGCTTGATTCCCACATGATCCAAAGCTTTTTGTCCCTCAAGAAGTGGGAGCTGAACCTGCGCCTTGTTGCTGGGCAGTGAGCAGAGCCAGGGGGGACATGGTGGGTCCTGTTTTCTGCCTGGTTAGCTGGGAGCTGGGGATCCCCAAGCCTGGATGCTTGTTGTTTGCTGGAGAAGGCAAAGGGGAGTGAGAGCCCCACAGAGATCCCATTTCCGTGGCTGTGACACTGAGCTGAGCAGTGCCAGCCAGCAGGAACACGTGGCACTGCCTCATCTCTTTGCTTGTCAAACCAACCCCAAACCACCCTGCTAGGGGTAGTGAAGGTGGTGAGGACCCCTATGGGATCGACCGTGCCGGATGAAGACTGAGCAGCCTTGACAGCATCAGGGTGTTTGTCCCACCTTCAGCTCCCTGCTTCCGGGGTGTCTCAGGGTGGGTTGCTCAAAGCCTCCTAGATCTCAGTGCTCTGCTGCCTCAGCCGCCCCGACCAGCACAGCACAAACACCTACTTCAGTGGTAAGCCATACCCTCTCCAAGGGTTTAGCTTGCATCCAGCACATTCCTGCCTTTTAACGGAGGTATGGATGGATTCCTGCTCCCATCCTTGCCCTCAGCTTGGCTGTGGCAGGGAGAGCAGCTATAGCAGGCCCCATCAGTGATGGGAATGCTCACTGGGGTCTCTGCTCTCTGGGTGTCTCAGGAGCCATCCCTAAGTGAGGTCCCTCTGCCTTGTCAGCACGTGAGGGGGGTTTTCCCCTCCTGAAATAGCAGCTCTGTGGCTTTCAGAGGTGTGCTTGGCTCTTTGCCCTGAGAAAGCCCCAAGTCCCCTGAGCTGTGGGCTTTGGAGCAGGGATGCCAGACACCTCCTGTCACCGCAGCACTGATGTACCCCCAGGTTCAGAGGAGAAGCCATGTGCATGGATAATGCGGGAGCGATCACATCTGAAATTTATGTCCCTCTCCTTAACCTCTTCCATAAGCCTTGCTTTGATCAGAAACCCTGCTGGCGTTCCTCCAAGCTCCGGAGGAAAGCTGGAATAGAACCCAAAGGCAAGAGCTATGCAAGTCCCTGGAGCTGCCTCCATAGCTCCCCTGGCTGGGGCTTCCATCCTGCCTCCGTGGAGCATTGCTTGCTATTGAAAATGAGGATGTTGGGATCCAGACTGGCATCCAACACAAGGGCTTCCCATTGAGATGTGGGAATGCCTTTTCTGATGGCCAGTATCTAGCTAAAGCATCTGCAACCCTCAGAGAGGTCCTAACTCAGTCGTTTTCTCCTCTAGAAGCTCTTCCATGACCTTATCCCGCTCAACCCCTTTCTTGTCTTGCAGGACTTGGGCTCTCTCATGCCTTGCCTCCCTCTTCCCCCCTGCTAAACCCTCCTTCCCAAGGATGGCGGCCGCCTCATTCCGCTATGGCATGACCATCACCGGGGCCGTGCTGCTGGTGACGGGGACGCTGTGCTTCGCCTGGTGGAGCGATGGGGAGGTGGGATCATCAGCCAGCACCGGCGCTCACCTCCTGCCTCCCCGGGAGGCCGAGGCCGTGCCCAGCTCCTCCTCCTCCAGCGCCCTGCTCCGCTCCATCAGCTTCTTCTGCTGCGGCATCGGCGGCATCCTGCTCCTCTTTGGGCTCCTCTGGTCCGTGAAAGCCAACGCCAGGGTGGTTTCCCGGCGCTACCAGTACCATTTCCCCAGGGACCTGCAGTACTTCACCGCGGAGCCTCCGGAGAAGTGGAACTGCAGGTGGGGCCCTGCGTTGTGGTGCTGGTGGGGAGAAGGTGAGGGTGGGTTTGACCCAGCACTGCCAGGTACCAAAGCGCGCTCACGAGCTCAGATGAGCAGTAAAGCCGCTGTGCTGCTGGCTGTTGCTCAGACCCCATTCTGGGCTCTGCTCCCGCTCCATGAGCAGATGCTCCCGGGGTGATGGTTTTAAACTGAAAGAGGGGAAATTTTAGGCTGGACGTTCTTTACAATGAGGGTGGTGAAGCACTGGCACCGGTTGCCCGGAGAGGCGGTGGATGCACCATCCCTGCCAGGCTGGATGCAGTTCTTCATCCAGTTGAAGATATCCCTGACATTGCAGGGGATTGGAACAGATGAGCTTTGAAGGTCCCTTCCAACCCCAACCATTCGATGATTCTATGGTCCTCCCCTCCCTGCAGGCACTCTCCATGCCCACACTGGCTGCTCCCGCATCCAGTTCAGCTGCAGATGGCTCTCCTTGCCCTGCAGGGCCATCACCAGCCGAGGCAGCATCTCCTTAGCAGAGCCATGAAGCAGAAAACTACATTGGTTTTCTGAAGGAAGGTCTGGATTCGGGTGTGTGTGTGTGTGTGTGTGTGCTTTATCCAGACCTCCAGCTTTGAAACCTTCCCCAGGACCACAGTTCTTCAGTGCTCTGTGAGGACAAGGGGGTTTATGGCACTTTTAATGGAAGCAAAGTCTATGTTAAAAGGGAGTTAAAAGGCAAAAAGAACAGGACAACAATCCTTGGATTGGCCTTAAACCAGGAGCACAGGCAAAGGGTCCTTCTACAAAGCCTCTTTTGGGGTGTGGAAAGACCCCTCACTGCTTGTTGTGTCCCCAGACTGCCCCTACATGAGCCTGAGCTTTATTCCCACTTCTCCATGTAAAAGCTTTCTGAGCAGAAAGGTTTCCTTTCCAGAGGCTGCTGTGGAAGCGGAGCCAGCCGGCCCTTCCCAGTGCTGCCCTATGGGGTCACAGCAGAGCTCTTGGCTCCGGCGTGAATCGGGCTCTGGGGAAAAGCAGCACGAAAAGAAGCTCTTAAGAACACGAATCCCTAAAAATTCATTGGGAGCGGGAAGCACGTTCCTGGTTCTCCAGGGGTTTCAGTGCCCATTGGAGCATCCGGGGGTGAGAGCCTGAGCCGGGCTGATAGTGCAGGGAGGCTTCCTCCTCCCATGGTGGGCTTTGCTGTGCCTCCCATGAGGAATGTCCCCTTCCCAGAGCTCCCATGCCAATGGGAAGGCAGCTTCCTGGTGCTGCTGGCGCTGTGGCAGCTCCTCCAGCCCCAGCTGTGCTGGCATTCACTCAGCAAAGCATCCTCTGCTGGGAGAAACCCTCCTCTCTGCATCGCCAAGGCAGCATTCCTCTGTGAGCCGAGCCTGTTTGGCAAAGGCCGTGGTGCGGATGCTTGGAGCGGTAGGTGTGGGATATGGAGGCATCCCAGTGGAGCATCACAGCTTTCCCTTTGGACCAGCTGTGCCTCTCCAATACCCACAGCCTCCCTGAGCGCACAGCACTGGGTTTCTATGTGCGAAAGCAAGAGGATGCTGGGTTGCTTTCAAACCCTCCTCGCCTTCGGGGCTGCACCCAGGGTGCTGAGCAGGACCTGGCACAGGGCAAAGGTTGGTGGAGGTTTTCCCTGTACACAAGCTGTGTTTGCTCAGCAAAGCGCTGCTGAAGTGGTTCCAGGCCGTGCATGCAGGGCTCTGGTGAGTGGGACCACATGGAAGTGGGATGCCTGGTGCCAAAGTGCTCCTTTGGCGGCCTCTGTGCTGTGGGGTTAGGCAGGAGATGAGGATGCTCTCCTGCCCAGCACAGTGCACAAGGGGGAGGGCAGATGTCCCCAAAGCCTTCACCTCTGCTGCTCTGTGGCCATGCTGGAGGAGCTCTTCAAGGCTGCCTTGCCAGGCTGCCCTTCCTCGTGTTGGGTCAGGGGTTATAAACACAGTGGGAATGGGGTGGTGTGACCTTGGCACAAGGTCTGATGGATGGTCCCTTCCTCCTGCGTGGCTCCCTACCCTTCTGGTGCTGGGAACTGGCTGACATGGGCTTGCCTTGACCCTGGGCATGCAAAACCTGCCCATGTGCCATCCCCAAAACACAAGTGCTTATCATGCTCATGGATGCTCCAGCAGATGGGGGGTGGGGATGATGGCTGAGAGGCTCCAGTTGATGGGACACAGGGATGCTCTGATTGATAGTGCTCCGGGATACTCTGGTTAATGAGCACCGGGATGCTCCAGTTGATGGGACATGGGGATGTTCTTGTTGACAGGGCTCTGAATTACTCCAGTTGATGGGTGCTGGGATGCTCCAGTTGGTGGGTGCTGGGATGCTCCAGTTGATGGGTGCTGGGTTGCTCCAGTTGATGGGACATGGGGATGTTCTTGTTGACAGGGCTCTGAATTACTCCAGTTGGTGGGTGCTGGGATGCTCCAGTTGATGGGACATGGGGATGTTCTTGTTGACAGGGCTCTGAATTACTCCAGTTGGTGGGTGCTGGGATGCTCCAGTTGATGGGACATGGGGATGTTCTTGTTGACAGGGCTCTGAATTACTCCAGTTGGTGGGTGCTGGGATGCTCCAGTTGATGGGACATGGGGATGTTCTTGTTGACAGGGCTCTGAATTACTCCAGTTGGTGGGTGCTGGGATGCTCCAGTTGATGGGTGCTGGGATGCTCCAGTTGATGGGACATGGGGATGTTCTTGTTGACAGGGCTCTGAATTACTCCAGTTGATGGGTGCTGGGATGCTCCAGTTGATGGGGCTGTCTCTGCTTGATGGGGCCCAAGGATGCTCTGGTTCACAAGCGCTGGGATGCTCCAGCTGACCCGGCGCACTGCTGTGTTTTATCTTCCCTTGCAGCTCCTGGGACGCCAGCGCCATCCCCACCTACGAGGAGGCTCTGACCTGCAGACCTGCCCACGACACCGCAGCCTACATCCCCCCGCCGGGGGGCAAGGAGGAGGAGCTCACTCCGCCCCTGTACCGCTACCTGGAGGAGGACGAGCGCTGGCAGTGCGGCCGCCGCCGCAGCTCCTCCGACAGCGCCTTGTTCCGCCCCAGCCCGTCCTGGATGGAGATGCAGGACCCGGGGGAGCCGCAGGAAACGCCCCCCCCCAGCTATGAAAACATCAGCGTCCGGGGGGTCTGAGCTGGAGGCTTTAAACCCAGCCCCTTCCTTTGCTTGTGGGTGAGGAGGGGAAAGGGTCTGCGGCTCCGCGGGCCGTCTGCGGGTCCCTTGGGAATGCGTCCGGAGCGGGGCCGGGGGGTGCCACGGGCATGGTTGAAAGCCTTGGTGTTTGTAATAAAACCACTGCCGGTTGCACATGCTTTGCACCCCGTGCTCCGAGCCTCCCTGGGGCTGCCCGCCCACAGCAAGAGCAACACCTGCAGCGAAACACAAGGAGAAGAAGCAGCCCCGTTTGCTCCTGCCCCTTCCAGCCGTATCCATCCCTTCCACCTTGCTTCCCCTGCACGCTGACTTCCCATGCATCGCTTCGGTTGGTTTGGAGATGTTCAGTGGCTCGTGTGCGTGTTCAGAGCATCCGAGCGCGCTTGGTGTTCCAGGCAGCGTCCCATGAAGACACCCTGGGCACAGGGCACAGCCCCCTGCCTGCTCGCCACGGCCGGCTGTGCAGCACTGCCCACAGCAAATGTTATTTCTCCTTATTTTGGTGATTAAAGTACAAGTAACAGGGATAGGACAGGGGGAATGGGCTCAGAGTTCAATGGGAGGCTGGGATGAGCCCTTAGGCAGAAGCTCTTCCCTGTGAGGGTGCTGAGGCGCTGGCACAGGGTGCCCAGAGAAGCTGTGGCTGCCCCATCCCTGGCAGTGCTCAAGGCCAGGTTGGACACAGGGGCTTGGAGCAAGCTGCTCCAGTGGAAGGTGTCCCTGACCGTGGCAGGGGTTGGAGCTGGATGAGCTTTAAGGTCCCTTCCAACCCAAACCAGTTTGGGATTGTGTGAATGGACAACTGCACCAGGGGCTGCTGCTGGTTGCTCCATCCCACCAGAGTAATGAGCTGCCCTGGGCTCCTGCCACAGCCAACATAAAACATTCTTTATGACATGATAGATCACTTTTCACAAGCCAGGTACATGTGCTCCCATGTGGGCAGCAAGCAAGGGATCAAAATGAAGGGGAATTAAAGCCACCACCGCTGTCGGATGTGCGATGTGAAGGGGGCACCTTTTAACACTCCAGCTCCATCTTAAGCACACGCAGGGCATGTGGGCACTGTTCTCACAGAACAGGCGGACCAACCCCATTCCATCCTTCCCTGGCTTTAGCCTCCCCTTCACAGCCCCGCTGCTGGCTCCCAACCCACCCGCCTCCATCCAGGCCCCGGAGCACTCCCTTCCCTGCCGCAGCCCTGGAATACGTGCTGCATCCCTTTATTTGGGGCCCTGCCAGCTCCCATTACTTGGGGCTCTGCCAGCTGTGATTTATGCCCAGCTCCAGCCCTCAGAGCTGGGAAAGTCCCATTGGGCCCAGCCACCCTCCATGCCCCCCTCTCCCTCCCCATCCCTTCCCGAGGCGCGGGGTCCATCGGTGTGTGCCCGCAGGGAAGGTTACCCGGACACGTGCCGGGCGGCTCCACTGGAGTGTGACCGGCGGCTCCGTGTTTGCATTCATTACAAACCCGTTCAGAACTGGGCAGGACCGGGCTCAGCCCGCAGCCCAGCCGCAGCCTCCGGAGCAGGAAACCTCTCCTTGCCTTCCCCCCCCGGAGGTGTGCTCAGCGCCCGCTGAGCTTCCCGGCATCTCTGCTCGCCTGCTTCTCCCACCCGGAGCCCATGGCCGAGGAGAAGACCTTCCGCTACGGGTTCATCATCCTGGGGTTCTTCCTGGTCATGACGGGGATGTTCATCATGAGCGTGGAGAAGCCCCAGATCTACATCACCTTCTGCGCCCTGGGCGTGCTGCTCGTGGCTGTGGGCATCACCTGGAGCATGTGCCAGTGCTACCCCAAGGTAGGGTCCATCCTGGCTCCGTGCGCATCGGGGGGCTCGCCTGGGTTTGGGTTTGTATCTTGGGCTGTGCTTTGGTTTTCCCATCTGTTGGCTGGGATAGAGGCAGATCCCGGGGGAGATCTGAGTGATCCAGAGAGAAAAGTGCTGGTGGTGGAGGCTTGTCCCCTGCTATACCTCCCCTGCAGGATGCGGCTCCCTTCCTTCACCCCCTGTACCCCTGCACCTCCCCGAGCCTGCGGCTTCAATACCAAGCAGGCAGTGAGGAACGAGCCCAAGGAAATCATCTCTTCCATGCAACCCCCAAAATGCTGCTCCCCCCATGGGGATCAGGGCCTTGGTGGGCTCCCAAAGAAGGGGCTGTGGTGGCTATGGATGCCAGAGGGTCCTGGCCCCTGAGCACACCCTCACCTCTGGGTCTCCTTGGCAGAGGGCACAGCAGAGCAGCCAAGCATCCCTGCCCTGGGACATGGGGCTGGCAGGAAAGGCTTTTCCCCAGGAGAGGCTGTGGCACTCACCTGGGAGCTGATGGCTGGCCCACGGCTGTACCCCAAAGTGCAGGGTGGCACAGGGGACCCCAGCACCAAGTGGGACCCCTGAGACCGGCTGGGTCCCCATGGACCAGGGTGAAGCTGACCCCAGCTCCCCCCAAAGCCAAGCTCAGCCCCAGTGAGGAGGCAGAGGTGGCTTTGTCACCGTGCTCAGGGCTCAAGGACAGGGCACCCTATGGGCCCCGGGGACCCCCCCATGGCTCAGGGACACACATGACCCCCCTGCAGACAAGGTGCTGAGAGCGGGGCCGTGCTGGGTTCATTCAATCCTCATTGATCTCATGCAAAATAATCCATTTCCAAGCAAGTGTGCTGGGAAAAGAGCAACTTCCAGCGGAAGGGACACTGTCCTGAAGGGACATGGTCCCTTTTAGTGCTAACAGGGTTGAGCCCCCCCATGATGCCCATCATAGGGCAATGCATCTCTTTCCCCCCCAGATAACATTCATCCCTGTGGACCTTGAGGCTGAGCGGTTCCTGGAGCACAAACCCATCGTGCTGCTGGACAAGGACACCCGGTAGGTCCCAGCACCCTGCCCGGGTCTCCTGTTAGCGGGGGTTTCCATGGGTACACACCGCTATCTGTGTGCCCTCGGGGACAAGGGCAGTGTCCGAGCTCACTGGCACTGGGGACAACTACACCTATTGCAGCAAAGGATGACAAGCAGGGGCCCCATGGGGGAGGTAAGGGATGGATGAACCCCCCAGGGCTGGAGCCTGGGTGATGCTGAGGGGTTCAAAGCATCCGGATGTGCTCTGTGGGTACCACCTGCAAGGGCTCACTGGCTCTGCTGCTGTGATGTGGCCTCGGTGGCCCCTAAAGGAGTCCTGCGTTCATGTCCCTGAGCATCTCCATAGGGGTCCATGTCCTGCTCATCACCCCCTGTCTCTCCTTTACCCACAGCTTGCTCACACCCGGCATCAAGCAAGAGGCCAGCAGTGCCTATGAGAAAAGCCTGCCCTCCTATGAGCAGGTCCAGATGCAGGGGTTGGGCTCAGCCCTGCTCCCCCCTGCCCAGCACAGAGCCCATGCCTGCTCCCAACCAGCCCTGCAGGCCAGAGCAGAGGTGCACCAGGAGCTGGGGGGCGCTGGGGACCCCCCCAAAGAGCTGTCCCCTCAGCTGGAAGCAGCGCCCAGCAGTTGGTATGTGATGCTCATGGGACTGGGATGCAGGGGGGGAAACTGGGGGGGTTGGACCACTGGTATGGAGGGAGGGAGAGGAGGAAGAGGAGGAAGAGGGGTCTTTGCTGACCCCTTTGGAATTCCAGCCCTGCCTGGATGGTGCCTCGGCCCATGGGGAGCATCAGCACTGGGTTATTTATGGGGAGGAAATCTGGGTTGCCTTTGGTTGTAGATCGTGTTTTGCTTTTATTTCAGTTTATAAATATAAATACAAAGAATGCCCCTCACTGGAATAAATCCCAAGCTCCTGGTCAGACATAGACAGAAATGAGATGCTCAGTACATGTCCTTCAGATCAGACACCACATACGATGCTCATGCATTGGGTTGGGAAGTCTCAAAAGTGCTTTGCAAGCGATGGGGGACACCATTCAGCACTGGGATCTAAGAGTTGGGCACCTCCTCTACCAAAGTGCAGCTGCAGCTGGGATGGGAGGCTCTGCTTTCTCCCTGGCACAGGGAATCACTGGTTCATCCCATGGGGAGAAGGAGGAACCTGCAGGCAGGTTATCCCCATAAAGGCAGGCACTGGGGGCTGAGATAGGGCCCCCATTAAGGGGACTGGTGATGCTGGGACCATGCTGCTGGTCCAGCAGCCCCCGTCTCCAGCTGTGTTTAGTGCATCCCCTCATCCCCCTGCTCCCGCAGCCCATCCCGGCCGGCACTGGGGGCCGCACCACTGGCATCCCTCCTGGAGGACATGGACACACCATCACTGGAGGGCTCCGTGCCCAGCAGCCCCGTGCCAAGGGGCCGGACCCCACCATCCACCCGCTCCGGCTGCACCCCGGCTGGGGCACAGCACCCCCATAAAGGCACCACAGAGGAGGATGACCTCTATTACGGGCTCCAGGAGGGGCCGGATGCTCTGCTCAAGGATAATGACTGCCTTTTTGAGCCTGACAACTGATTTCCTGGAGGGAAGGGATGCTTGGCATGGACTCAGCTCATGGAGGGGACACAAATGTCACAGCCTGGAAGAAAGGGGCTTGGGTTGCCCCCCTAAAGAGCAGTACCTGCAGTGTGGAGGAGCGCAGAGACTTGTGTGCGTGCTGCACCCCTTGTGCCTACCCAGATGCTTGGGAGGATGCCACCCAAGGGGAGCATGGCCGCATCCTTCTGGAACCCATTGGGTGGACAGGTGAACACTGGACTGGGCAGGATCCAGGCTAAATCATGTGCTTGGGAAGGGAAAGCATCAGCTTTGCTGTTTGAAGCGGGATCGGGGTGCAGGTGGGTAAAGGTGTGCTCGCCCCAGGCAGGCTTTACGAGGCAGAGATGTCCCAAAAGCCCTTTTCCCACCCATTAAAGCCTCCTGGAACTAAAATCAGGTCCTGAGACCCCTGCAGCAGCAGCCTTCATGCTGGGAACGGGCGATGGGGGGGCAGTGGGCTGGCAGCACGCAGTCAGCAGGCAGTGAGAGCTGTGACCTCTGCCTGCCCTTCTGCTGCCGGGGGCTGTGGGGATCTGCCTGGCTCAGCCTCTGCAGGGATCAGAGCATCAGCGGGTCCAACAGTGAGA